ATATATATATATATATATATATATATATTACAAGCCATAAAATAAGATTGATAATTTCTCTAAATTCAACCTACGTATAATGATATAAAGATATCCCTTTATTGGATATATCAACAATATAACAAATTATATTCATTTAGACGAAAATCCTTAAAGCTTAACTGATATGAATTTATTACGAAGAAGTTATGCAAGGTTTAATAGCTTATTTTGTCTTTGGTTTTGCAGAATTTTGTCAATTAAGTTTTTCTTTTTTAAAAGTGTATCAAATTGATCCTCACTTAACAAATTTTGTGTCAACGTCATCCCTTAATACGCACAAACAACGTTAATTTTTTTTCTCTCTCTACTATGCTCTTCTGTAACACAACATACTTTTCTCTTTCTTTTGTCAGTGTTTTCTTTTCATACTTTTGTAATACCAAAAAAAGTTGGAATTCAAGACATTTCTTCTAAATTGTGTAGAAAAACATTCCTTCACATTTTTATCACTTTTCAACCTACCTTCATACTACGTCTTGTCATTAAATGCATTATTAAAATTGTTCAACTAAAATTAAAAACTTTTAAATATTATACTCGAATTTGTTATTTCATTATTCCACTTAGTTATTAAATAAAAATAACAATATTTATTATTATTATAAATTTTAAGAAATATGAAAAATTATAGCTAAAATTAAAACGATTTATCTTAACGAAATAATACTATATTGGTGTATGTCGGTTTAATTTGAAATAATATAACTAAATAAAAAAACAAAATGAATTTAGGATAGTATAATTAAAAAAAAAATCTTTTAGCTTTAATCAATTAGTTTTAGTATATAACAAAGGAACTAAAAGGTAGGAAAAGATAACAAATTATAATTATAATATTGATATAGATTATGTAGTATGATTTCCTTTTTAGTTAAGAATATATTTTTCATATTTATATTATTTATGAAAACTATATTTCGTTTTTAATTAAATTAATTATACATTTGTTTTGTTTCTATATGTAAATATTATTGTTGATATACGAAGAAGTTTTATATTATTTTATAAAATTAATAGAGATGAATTTGGAAGACTCAAAATGAGAGAAAAATTACAGAAAGAAAAGTGAGAGTGAAGGTGTTTCACTAAAAAAATACAAGAAGTGAGAAAAAAATTTATAAAATTTTTTAAACAATTTGATAACATAAAAAATTTATAAAACTTTGTAAACAATTTTTATATAAAAAAATCCTACAAAATAAACATAAAGTTGTCAAATATTTAATATGAAAAAAAAATGTTTAATATCATAGCTGGGTGATCTCAAATAACATAAAATTAAACTTAATTAATAACCAATTTCATTCTAATAAACTTTAATATCATTAATTTTATTATGATAAATACTCGTGTAATACTATATTAAAAGATATTTAAAATTAACTCAATATTATATAAATGAGTTATAAAATAAAATTTACGATTATTTAAATTATCAAATAATTTTATTCTTAATCGATAAAAAATTTCCAACCATTTTTACTATAGAAAAAAAAACATTAATTATAAGAGTATTTATAAGGACTGATTAAAAAGAAAACTGAAGAATAAGATATAAGAAGTTTTGAAGAGTGAAAGAAAGAAAATTAGGTAGTGGTGCAATGAAAAGGTTTTGGGATTTGAAAAAGTATGAAAAGATAGCACTGACAAAAGAAAAAGAAAGAGAGCAGAGGACGGAAGGGATGAGGTTGATGCAAAATTTACTAAGTAAGAATTAATTTAACACATTTTTTAAAGGAGAGACTTAATTGACAAAATTCAGCAAAACTACGGACAACATAAGTTATTAAACCTTTAATTTATTATTGTTAAACTAACATGATTTTAATTAAAATTTTTAAAATAAATTATAAAGAACTAAATTTGTACTAAATTGACATGAAATCATATTAAATTAATACAATTTCATTTTACTGAATCAAAAATCCTGTTGAGTTGATTTGATCTCTTCACAATGAAGTCCTACTATATTAACCAAACTTATCCATTTTTATAATTTTTTAAAACTTGTGATATTCTAATAATTAAAAAAAGATTAAATATATTTTTGGTCTTTTACTTTGAGTGAAAATTAGAAATAGTCTCTCCTTGTAACTTTAACATAATTTAGTTCTTCAACTTAAAAAAAATTAGAAATAGTCTCTCCTCGTAACTTTAACATAATTTAGTTCTTCAACTTAAAAAATACATGAATTTAGTTTTTTTTAACTAAATTTTGTTTGGTTTGTTTAATGTGTTACCAGCCTTTTATAACATTAAACACCTCTTCAGCCTTAGATATGTTACCAGCACGACACCACCCATAAACCAAACTAGTGTAAACTAAAACATCAGGCTCAAACTTATGCTTGAGACTCTCAAAAAACGATTGAGCCTCGTTTGCTCTTCTTTTTTTACACAAGCTACTGATCACAATTGAAAACCCAACCTTATCGGGAGTGCAGCCATAGTCCTCCATGCGGTTGAAAGCGTGGACCGCCTCTGTAGGTAATTCGGCCCTCACGTAGCGACGAACGAGAACGGCGAACGTGTGAGCGCTGATTTCGATGTCGTGAGTCTTCATGAGGTTGATCACGTGCCACGTAAGGTTGAAATGTCTCAGCTTTCCAGCAAGGTCGAGCATCTCGTTGTACGGCTCTGGCGAGGGGGGAAATCCGTCAAGGGCGATGGCCCAATTGAAGAACACGAGGGATTGGAGGAAGGTGATGTCGCGGCAGACAGCGCCGCATTTCTCAATGACGTGGCAGGCGACGGTGGGGGAGAGTGTGTGAGTAGCGGAGAGCGCGAAGAAGTCAAGGGAGAGGTCGGGATGGTAAAGTTGGGTGCAGGGGAGGGGCATTGGGGTTTGGTGTGGGGTATTTGCGGTTGTGTTCTTTGATGGCGGCGTGGCGTTTGTCTGCTAAGGTGGTTTCCTCGGAGGATAGGTTTGGAATTTGGGATGTGTTGTTTGAATAAGGTTGGAGAAGAGGTTCGGGAAGTGAAGCCGAAGAACAATGTTGCTTGAAAGTGCAGGGCAGGAGCGGTAAGAGGGAGTGGCCGAAACATAGACATGATTTGATAGAAGTCATGGTTAAGTTATTGAGAATTCAAGGTCACTAAACTAAGTCGAGCTTCGACGAGTTCCAGCGCCAAACCTCTCTCATGACCAGCTACACCCTCCTCTGGAAGGAACGAGCTCTACGATCACTTTTCCTCTCTCGAGGATGACCTCAAGTACAAATCCGAAGCTCTGAAACGCAGATGCGCAGTTACACGTCATCACTCACAAATCAATTCACACGTTGTCAATATTTGGTGTCACATAATTAATGTATTAACTCTGTTTGATATTTAACTAAAGAGACAAATTTGACGTAACTTTGAACATATTTCAAACATTTTTAAAAATGAGATTGATTTGACATTAGACAACGGAAATGTGACAAAGAGACTATTAAACCTTATTTTAATTTAGAATAAACGTACACCGTTTTGATAAACTACAAATTCCTTTATTCCAACGATCAATTATAAACTATTATATCTACGTTGCTTTAAATATAAATTTTGTTCTATATCTTATCGGTCTCCATTCAATCAAATTATTTTGAAAAAGATTTATATTATAAAAACAATGCATCCCATATATGTCATATTACCTCTAACAATTATTGAGATATGCAATATAGAAAGTTAGAAACCCACCCGAAACTTTATTTAAGTGGGGAGAAAAAATATTTTAAAGAAAATTTACAAGAATAACGATAACAGAAATATTTAGAAGATTAAACATATAACAATCAATAATTTGATAATATATATATATATATATATATATATATATATATATATATATATATATATATGGGGTTTGCTAAGCGTACGATTGTTTTTCAGTGGATACATTTTAACAATGTGTACCGGGTTTTAGTAGACAAAAATACCCTTATATATCATGGATTCTAAGTTTTAAAGTTAAGAGTATTTTAATAATTTTCATTCTCAAAACTAAAATAAAAAGAAATCCCCAATTTTCATTTTATAATTTTTGTCTCATCTAATTTTCACAAGCATAATGACATCAAAGGAACTGGTAATTGACGTGGAAAAAATCAGAAACACTCGTTAAACAATTTCTTACAAAAAATGATTTTATAATGAGTTTTCATTTTATAACTTTTGCCGTATATAATTTTATCTAATTTTCAAAAGCATAATGACATTCAAAGGAATTGGTAATTGGCTTGGAAGGTTTTTTTAGAGACGATGGTTCAACAGATGATGAAATTAGAGAGGTTAGTGAAGATGGTGAAATTGAATAGATCTTGAATGAATTGAGAGTTTTTTTTTAGAATGAAAATTATTAAAATACCCTTAACCTTAAAACTTAACTTAGAATCCATGATATATAAGAGTATTTTTATCTATTAAAACCCGGTACACATTGCTAAAAATATACCAACTGAAAAACAGGCGTACGACGTTAACAAACCCATATA